ATAAAAGTGGACGAAGACATCCCAGGGAAATGATACACCGATATTCTTATGAAGGGGCGTGGAGGCATAGCTCAGCTGGTAGGCTGTTTATGTAGCAAGCACACGGCGCTGGGCTGGATCCTAGCACACACAAAGTGGATATAGTAAGGTAAGGCACACCTGTACTCACAGGGCTCAGGAAGAGCAAAGAGGGGATCAGAAGCCGAAAGTCATCCTTGGCTGCACAGTTAGTTTGAGGCCTACCCGGGTCTCACAAGATCCTGTCTTGAGGGAAAAAATCCTGGGCTAGAGATGGCTCAGCAGTTAACACTTGTTGCTCTTGTAGAGGACCTGGGCTCACTTGCTCACTTCCCAGCACCCTCATGGTGGCTCACAACATCTGTAACTCCAGACCCTGGGTATCCAATGCCCTCTTCTGACCTCTGCAGCAGCAAGCACACATCTGGTGCACACACACATACACAGGCAAACCACTCAAGCATTAAAATGAATAAATCTTTTTTTTGTGACAGGGTTTCTCTGTGTAATAGTCCTGACTGTCCTGGAACTCACTCTGTAGACCAAGTTGGCCTCAAACTGGCAGAGATCCGCCTGTCTTTGCCTTACCCAGCTCTCCCCCCACCCCCAGGGTTTCTCTATATAGCCCTGACTGTCCTGGAACACATTTTGTAGATCAAGCTGGCCTTGAACTAAAATCAATAAATCTTAAAAAAACAAAGCCAAAAAACCTTAAGGAATACAGACACAGAAGTCTCCAATAAAATATTAGCAAAGCAAATCCAACCCAACATCATGTGAAAAAGTATTATATGACATGGCCAAGTAGTATTTATCCCAGGAATATAAATTTGGTTTACTATCCAGAAGTCAAATACAGATTATTAATAGAACAAAGAACAAAAGCCATAGAAAATCACAACAGACACAGAAAATACATTTGATAAAATGTAACTTGCTTTCATATAGGAAACAGCACATTAGAGACTTGAAATGCAGATGTAGAGCACGTGTTTTAGCATGAACTTGAGATGCAGATGTAGAGCGCGTGTTTTAGCATGAACTTGAGATGGAGATGTAGAGCGCGTGTTTTAGCATGAACTTGAGATGCAGATGTAGAGCACGTGTTTTAGCATGAACAAAGGCCTGATTTGATCCCAAGCACCAAATAAACCAAGCATGGTGGTCACCAGCCAGCAATTCCAGCACTCAGGAGGCTCAGAAGTTCAAGGTCATTCTTGACTGTGTACTGAATTCCAAGCCACGCTAGACCCCATGAAACCTCTTTTTAATAAAAAGCTCAGCACAAAAGGAGTGGAAGGGAACATCCTCTTTATATCAGAAGACTGTATTGATCCAAAAGTGAAACAAATGAAACGACCCACGTAAGCCAGTCTATAAATCTAGCACCTGAGAAGCAGAGGATAAGAAGGTCCCAGGCTAGCCATGGCTGGCTGGCTACATAGTGAGTTTGAGGCCAGTGAAGACTATATGAGACCCTGTTTCAAAATGAAACTAAATGTTGTGAAGGAAAAAACAATTCATTTGTAATAGCAACAAAAAGAATAATTTGATATAAATTTAACAAGAGAAGTGTAAGATTTATAGATAAAATAAAAAAAAACACTGTTGAAAGAAAGATCTAGGGTGGAACTAGAGAGGTGGCCTGGAGGTCAAGAGCACTGGCTGCTCCTCCAGAGGTCCTGGACTAGATTCCCAGGTAACAACAACTCACACCTGTCTGTAACTCCAGTTCCAGGGAATCCAACACCTCCTCGGGCATTGTATGCATGTCGTGCACAAACAAAACACACCCCAGCAAAACACCCATGCATACAATAAAAATAAATCTTTGAGGTCATGTGGCAGTGACGCTGCCTTTAATCCTTGCACTTGAGAGGCAGAGGCAGGTGGACCTCTGAGTTCAAAGCCAGCCTATTCTGCAGAGTTAGTTGCAGGACAGCCAGGGCTACACAGAGAAACCTGTCTTGAAAAACAAGCCCCCATCAAAAACAGAAGAAAAAAAAACCTTTAAAAATTAAACATCTAATTAGAATTTAAAACTTCCCACACTCACAGATCAGAAAACGTAATACTGTTAAGATGGTAACATGCCACAAATGATCAACTGATTCACTACAACTATTAAAGCCTAAACTAGCTTTTTAAATTTCTTGACAGCAAAATCTGACAATCTGATCCAAAAGTCCAAATGGACGTAAGTGTGATGACATATGTCTATCATTTCCAGCACTCAGGAGGCTGAGACAGAAGGGAAATGGAGGGTTCGAAGCCAGTAAGGGCTACATAGTGAATTTGGGGACCAACATGCAGCTCTCATACAGTCTCAAAAAACTACATAGAACTGTTAAGACCAGAAAAAAAAAAAAAAAAAACCTCTTGAAGTAAAACAAGTTGGGAGAAAAAAAAAGTAACCAAGCTGGAAGTCTCATAGGCCCTGATTTGAAATTCCTATAAAATTGTACTAATCAGGGGGCTGGAGGATGACTCAGTGACCAGGAGCACTTATTATGGCAGAGATCTAGGGTTCAGTTCCCAGCATCCACATGGTCATTTGCAACCATTCGTAGCAACAGTTCTGGGGGACCCAACACCTTCTGAATGCACAGACATACACGCAGTCAAAATACTTAGAAATAAATAATTCTTTTAAAAATCATACAATAATTAAAATAGTGTGGTTTTGACATAATGGCAGACATGAAGGTGTGGCTTAGATGGAGCATTTGCCTGGCATGTGCCAGGCCTTGGGCTTGATCCCCAGCTACAAACCAAACGAAACCCCTCATATTTACAGTTAGTTTATTTTTTTTTAAGAAAGCCAAGACAATTCAATAGACAAAGAATGGTCTTTTTAACAGATGCTTCTGAAACTGAAAATCCATAGGCAAAAAATGAAGTTGAACCACCTGCTTCAAACCATTTACAGAAATTAACTCAAAACGAGCCGAGTATCTTAAGTCTAAGGGTTTCTAGCTATAAAAACATACATAGCTTGTAAAAATACATTTATGGCAGCTGGAGAAATGGCTCCGCTGTTAAGAACTTGCTGCCACATCAGGTGGCTCACAATTGCTTGTAACTCCAGCTCCAGGGGACCTGACACCCTCTATGAACACCTGCACTTACATGCATATAACCCACATATAAACATACAATTAAAAATTAAGAACAGAAAGTTTGTAATTATGAACTTTATGACTTTTAATTGTGTGTCTCTGTGTGTGTTTGTGTGCATTTGTGTCAGGGTGCACGGAAGGTCAAGAGGGTGACTTTCTGTAGTGAATTCTCTGCTTTGACAATGTAGGTTCCAGTGATCAAACTCAGGTCATCAGTCTTGGTGGCTTTACCAGATCAGCCATCTCAGCGTCCACCTCCTTCTGTCTCCCAAGAACTAGTGTTGAAGACCCATGCCCTCCCCTCCCCCCACATACCTTATTTTTATTATACCAAAGTCCTCATTAAGAGCTAAGTAAATGCTCTACCACTGAACTACATACACTCTCAACTCTAAAAATCCCCCCATTTTAGACTCTGTGTGTGTGTGTGCATGTACCACATTGCTTGTGGGAGGTCAGAGGACATTTAAGAACCAGTTCTCTCCTTCCACATGCAGTTCTTGGATATAGAACTTGGGTTGTCAAATTTGGTGGCAAATACATTTTACTGGTTGAGCCATCTCCTGAACCCAAAAGATTTTCTCTAAATACTACTTTCCGAGAACCTGGGCATGGCTGCTCTCTGCCATTGAGACTCTTTCTCCTGGGGCTCATTACCTGGTTCACCATCCCTGAACTATGGCTGCTCGCTACAATGACCCCCATGACTATGAGCATGTGAACATGCAGGTGAACGTCCCAGCATTACCAACGTGGTGGATCTCAGCTCTTACAACAAGAGCACAGATTCCCAGTCTGATGGGACATGGTTGTAATCTCAGCCTTAAGAGGCTGAGGCAGGAGGAGAATCACCTCAAGTTCAAGGCTAGCCTGGGCTAACACAGGGAGATGAGGGGGGGTGGCTGTATAGCAAGATTCTGTCTCAAAAAAGGAGGGAAAGAAAATAAAGAGCCTAGGGAGGGAGTTCTGGCTTACTTAGAGCTATAGCTACAAATGCAAAGGGGGTGGCTATAATGTATGACCTAGAATCTTCTTCAGCAGCCTGCTAGGCAGACAAGGTGGCTCAGCAGGTAGGAGCTTGCTGTCAAGCTGACAACCTGAGTTCATCCCTAGGTTCCAAATGGTAGAAGAAAACTGACTCCCCAACCTGTCCTCTGACTCCATATGTGCACCATGGTACATGTGTCCACACATACATGTATGTGTACACATACAAGATAAGCATAAACGTAATTTTTTTTTTTGAGTGGGGGTTAGAGACAGGGTTCCTCTGTGTAGCCCTGCCTGTCCTGGAACTCACTCTGTAGATCAGGCTGGCCTCAAACTCAGAGATCTTGCCGGCCTCTGTTTCCCAAGTGCTGGGACTAAAGGTGTATGCCACCACTGCCTGTCTAAATATAGTTTTTTAAAAGATGTATTTCATGAGAATTTGAGGATGTATGTAACCCGACCCTAAGGGGAGCATGCTAATGGCTTCTGCCCCTCTACATTCCAAAATTCTGTCTGTAAATTTTAGCCTCACCCTATTTTTTTTTTCTCTTTTTGGTTTTTGAGACTGGGTTTCTCTGTGTAACAGGGTTTTGTTTTAAATTATTGATTTGAGACACAGTCTCATTTCACTTGAGACCCTACGAATCTGCCATGTAGCCACGGCTAGCCTTCAAATCTTATCTCCTGCTTCCACCTTCCATGTGCTGGGATTACAGGCATATGGGCTACATCTGAAGTCATTTCCGGAGTATCTCCCCTATGTGTGTGTTCATGCATGCATGTATGCCCATGTGATGATGAAGAGAAGATTCATGGCCTCGTCTAGACATTTTTCAAGGGAAGCTATGGACTAGCCTATCTTTTCTCCAGTGATACGAACAATCACACCTGTCATTAAAAAAATTCACAGAAACTGTTAGTAATCCCAGCACTTTAGATGCTGAGCGAAAACACTCAAGGGCCACCCTGGGCTACACAGCAAGACTGTCTCAAAAAAAGCAAAGCAAAACAACAACAAAAGCAAAGGAATGAGTGATAAATGTGTTAGGCTTGGTGGTACAAGACTAGTCAATTTTGTCACCAAATAAAGACAGAGGGCTGGACAGTACTGCAGTGAGTTCACAGACACACTCAGGCTGCTTCTGGATCTTCTCACTCTACTGGTTGACTTTTATTTTTGTACCAATCGCATATTTTTTTATTCTAATGCTTTGATTTTTAGCATCAAACACATCACCTCTGTTTTTTGTTTGTTTTTTTAAGTTATCATGGGCTGGAGGTGTAGCTCAGTGGTAGAGCAAGTGCTAATCATGTTCCACATGAGCTTTGGATTTTCAGATTGGGGACTGAAAAATCCTTTGGGCTCCTCTGTACACCATAATAGCACAATTAATGTGCTGCTGGATGCTTTCAAAACCATCAATAATGCCAAAGAGGCAAACATCAGGTTGGTAGCAAGCCATGTGCCCAAGTCATCTTCATTTTCTAGCTGTGGTAGTGACATATGGCCACATTAAAAACACTGATGATGATCACAGCCCTGGAAGATTGCTGTGAACTTCACAGGCCAGTCAGAGTCTAGACAGTGAAGAGCCCCGGGTTTGATACAAACCTCACAAATCTGGGGAAATGGCAAACTAATCTGCTCCCAAGTTTGGTTTCACTGCACTGATAACCAGCTAGCAGCACACAGGAGAGGGAACCCTCTTAGGTTTTGTTTCCCCTACAAACGAAAGACAGTCAGGCGTGATGGCACATGCTTGGGGAGCTAAGGCAGGAGTGCCAGTTTCAGGTCAGCTTGGGCTGCACTGTGAATTTAATGCTAGCCGTAGCTGCATAGGCAGTGAATTTAAAGATTAAACTGGGAAAGTCAACTTTTTTCTCCTAATGCTGTGGATAGAACCCAGGACCTCACACGTAGAAGGTAAGTGCTCCTCCACCAAGATAAAACCCTGCTGTCAATTTTGTGTGTGTCACCATGTGGCCTAGAACTCCTGATGGAGACCAGAGATTCCCTTACCTATCAGCATTTTTAAATAACATCCCTGTCCATTCAGGTACATAGTATATGTCCCCACTGCTTATGCCATATATATGATTTTTTTCATATATTTATAGCTTTTTTTTTTTTTGAGACAGGGTCTCTTTATGTAGTCCTGGCTGTCCTGACACTATGCAGACACACTATGCAGACCAGGCTGGTCTCAGAGACCTGCCTGCCTCTGCCTCCTGAGTGTTGGGATTAAAGATGCGCACCACCATGCCCAGCCAGCATATTTTAAATGAGGTTTATCCCTTTGTAGTTCCTGGGTTTTGATGTGAAGAGGGATCTTTCTTCCTCCAAGCATGTCTCCTAATGTGTTACTGTGATAAACTGAAAAGATCATCTTTTTTTAGCTGTCTCACACCCGGGAAGGATTTTTTTAAAAGGTAGCTGGAGAGACAAGCTGGGTAGTTTTTTACTGTGAGCCTTTAACAGTGGAGCCATTTCTCCAGCCAATTGCTTAAGCCCAGCTTACTATCTTAAACAGATAGAAGCACTCAGTAAAGGGTCATTATCCTGAGTGTAGGCTAAGCAAAGCTACATAGGCTTTTCACTGCAGGACTAATGCTTCAATACACCTTTTAATCAACAAGAATTCTCAAGAGGCACAGACACCTTCCTGTCCTGACTTGGCCACTTAAAGTTCTTTCACAAGAAACCCAAAATATACTTTGGCAAACAATGAATTACAAGACCCTTCTAGAAACCACTTGTGATGGTAAACACCTGGAATCCTCATACTTGGGAGGCTGAGACGGGGATTGGTTGAGTTCGAGGGGAGCCTGTGCTATACAGTGAGTTCTGGATCAGGCTAAGCCGTGAGAGCCTGTGACAAAAGAAACCACCACCAAGACCCTTATAATTTGTATTAATCCGGAACCTCCACTGAAGTTTAACTCAACCAGAATACAGAAGACGGCGTGGTGTCAAAGCCAATGCTTTAATGAGTGTCTCTCACAAGCACTGCCGCCTCCACTGTCCCCAGCTCTTAGTGGACTGAGACTGAGCTAGTTGCTCTGGAGACTGAGAATGGGCATCTGGGAGTGTGGCAGAGAGAGCTACCAACTTCAAGCTGACCCTTCTTCTGGCATTCCTAGCAAAGCCACAAGAGGCTCCAAGGGTATAGGGGTTCCAATGGGCGCAGGGTGAGTGCGTTCATGTTTGCGCAGGTCACTGGCACTCAAGAAAGCTTTAGGACACTGGGGACAAGAGTAGGGGCGTACAGAACTGTGGGTGCGGCTATGTTTGCGAAGCCCAGCCCTGTCTGAGAAGCTCTTACCACACTGGGTGCAGGGAAAGGGCCGGAGCTCCGGGTGTGTGCGCTCGTGCCTGCGTAGCAACGTCAGTGTGGAGAAAGTTTCCTTACACTCGCGACACACAAACTGTGGAGGTTTCTCATCAGGCTCCTCACCCCCAACCTCCCCTGCATCTCCTAGGGTACCAGGAGCTTCCCCGACGCCAGCATCCGGGCACTCGACATGCTCCACAGTCATGCCCACCACTTGCCACTGTGTGGCTACTACACCCCCGGACTCTGCAGGTAGCCCTAGCAGCCCGGCTGGAGGGTCCCCTAGCCCTGCGCCTGCCACGGGGGCGGCTGAGCCCTCACCCACGACACCTACAGGCAGTGCCAGTCCCAGTACCAGCTCCTGCTGGGGGGCAGCTCCTGTAGCCTCATTGCTTCTATGGGTACGCTCATGCTTCCTGAGGCTGGATAACACCACAAAGGATTTCCCGCAGGCATTGCAGTGGAAAGGACGCTCGCCGGAGTGCATGCGGCTGTGCTTGGTAAGGCTAGCTCGTTCTGCAAAGGCTCGCCCACACTCCTCACAACGGAATGGCCGCTGTCCTGAGTGCACCAATGCATGCCGCTTGAGGTCCCAGGAAGCCACGAAAGTCTTGTCGCACTGCAGGCACTTGAAGGGGCGGTCGCCAGTGTGCACTCGCCGATGCATGGCCAGGTCGGCTGGCTGCCGGAAGTCCTTGCCGCATTTCTCGCAGCGGTAAGGCTTCACGCCCTCATGTGCCCGTTGGTGGCGGCGGAAGCTCGAGGGATCCGAGAACATGCGGCCACAGCGAGGGCATAGGAAAGGCTTCTCACCCGAATGCGTGCGCTCATGGCTTTGGTAGGAGCTGAGCTGTGTGAAGCCTTTACCACAAGCCGGACAGCGATAGGGTTTCTGGGCCGCATGGATACGCTGGTGGCATGTGAGGGAAGAGGATCGGGAGAAACTTTTCCCACACTCAGAGCAGAGGAAGGGGCGCTCACCGGTGTGGGACCTGTGGAGCAATGGAGGCCCTGGTTAGATGGCAACAGACTCACGTGAAACAGCTAGAGCCTGTTTGGGCTGCAGTTCCCTAAGAGCCGCAGGGTTGTACCCGAGAGTAAGAAATTTAGTCGGGCAATGGTGGCACACGCCTTTCATTTCAGCACTTGGGAGGCAGGCAGATCTCTATGAGTTCTAGACCAACCTGGTCTATACAAAGCTAGTTCTAGAGCCAGGAGTGGTGGTGCACGCCTTTAATCCTAGCACTTGGGAGGCAGAGGCAGGCAGATCTCTGTGAGTTCAAGGCCAGCCTGGGCTACAAAAGCTAGACAGGCTCCAAAGCTACAGAGAAACTCTGTCTCAAAAAACAAAACAAAACAAAAACCTCAAAAACAAAGCTAGTTCTAGGCCAGCCCAGGCAACTAAAGAACTCTGTTTTCAAAACCAAAACCAAAACCAAATATCTAAGAAGCCATTTTTCCTAGGACCTACCCACATATGTCCCTCCCCGTGAGTGACAGTATCCCTTTCCGGCTGTCCTGGGACCTAGGCCAATAAGACCCCACCCGCTCTCAGGGTTCCATCTCCAGGTACTTAGGTCTGCCACCCAGCCTGACCTGTCCAACCAGGCCTCCCATTTTTAGGTAAGTATCCACCTACCCTTTTTCCCATTGGCATAATCTATTAAAATGCTAGTTCCCATTTAAGCTTCCCAGCCGTATCTAGGGGTCTCACCGTTCATGGTTACGTAAGTCCTTGAGCTCAGCGTAGGCCTTCCCGCAGCGCTCGCAGCTGTAGGGTCGCAGGCCTGCATGGGTGCGCCGATGCTTGCGGAACACTGAAGGATCAGCGAAGCTCTTGCCGCAGTCGGTACAGGCATAGGGCCGCTCACCTGTATGCCCACGCTGGTGGATCTTGAGTTTAGAGAGTGTACCATAAGCCTTGGGGCAGTGCGTACATCGGAAGGGCAGCTCACCAGCATGTGAGGCCAGGTGCACACGCAGGCACACGGGCTGCATGAAACGGCGGCCACACTCTGGGCATGGGAAGGGCTTCTCACCAGTGTGGCTGCGCCCATGGCTTCGGAGCTCAGGAGCTGTCTTGTAGGCCTTGGGGCACAGTGGGCAGGCATAGGGCCGGGGCTTGGCTACTGAGCCAGACACCTTGTCTCCACTGGCTTCCTCGGCTTTGGGCTCTGTATCCACCTTTGGCTCGACCTCATTCACCTCCTCTGTGCAGTCTGCAGGTGTATGTGTAGCAGCATGGCGTGCTGCCCGGGGAGCATTCGGAAATGTCTTTGTACAGAACAGGCACTTAAAACGGCGTCCAGAGCGCTTGTAGCAGGGGCCTGGGGACTTGGCCTCTGTAGCCTCCTCTTCCATGACCTTGGTGAGTGGGCCTTCTCTGCAAGAGAAGCAAAATTAGACCAAAGCCATCATGTTGTGTTCTTTAAGGCTTCCCACTTCACTAAAGGTCTCTCAATATCTAAGGTAACCATATCTTTAAGGGAAAAAATTATTTTTATTTTACATGTATGAAGGTTTACTGACACCATGTCCTGAAGACCTGGTGCTCAGGAAGGCTGTTCCATCCCCTGGAACTGGAGTTCCATTTGTTTGTGTAACTCCATTGTGGGAGCTGGGACTCAAACCTGAAAGGCATGCAAGAACAGCAAGTGCTCCTAACCACTGAGCCATCTCTCCAGTCTCACAGGTCACTGGATCACACCAGACTTTCAAACCTGGGGCTCCTCAGTCCAAACCACAGGACTTCTACATCCTTTATGCTAATAGTCCCCAGGTTTGATCCTGTGTTCAAGTCTCCCTGGTGATCCCCAGTAAATAAGAGGCCAGAACCACAAAGAGCCAGCTATAGTCTACCCCTTACCCTCTCTACTGTCTAACCCCTGGTATTCCCACAATGCCTAGGTCCCATTACTCTCACAATCGTCCTTTCTCAGTTCCAACCAAGACTTTAAAAAGGTCTCCAAGCGCTCAGGAAGACAGACTCGGGTCCAGAGAGAAGAGTCGATGTTTGGAGGTAATGGGTCTCGGATATGTGCACTACCCTCCCCCTGGTTGGTCAGCTCCTGGAGAAGCAAGCATTCAAAGAATTTTGACCATGCATGGCTTTCAGGGACCCCACCCCAGTCAGGAATTTTGGTCCAACCTCTGATCTGGAGTCCCTTTTAGTCCCTGCTCCAAAACTCTAGAAATGGGAGCTCACTCTCAAGGCAGCCAGACCTACTGTTGGCAGTCACAGCTGATGTGTCTGAGCTAGCGAGGCCTCCTGGGATACTAGCTCTTGCTGAGTCCCTACTTTCTGGCCAAGAGCCCAGACAACATCCACACAGCTGCTCCCAGGATCATAGTTGGGAAAAAATAGGATTAACAGCTGCATTGGTCTTAACACCCACTCATCCTCCCAGAGGGATGAATGGAAGAGGATTAGGGCAGATCCTCTTAAGGGGAGCTTAGATGTGGTGCTGGGCAGGGCAGAGCGGGCAAGGAGAACCAGGTGTGCCCAGAGGGTGGCAGGCCAGGCCTCTGTGTCCAGCCTTGTGGATCATTTACTAGGACATGTGTATAGACCCATGTCCTCATCCATACATCACAGGAGCTGGGGTGGATAAGGAGGATGGAGCTATACTAAGTCTGTGGTGGCGGAGATGGGTTCAGGGCCTATTCCAGAAAAGACCTACACAAGCAGTATATCTGGTTGGCTGAGGGAGTCCTGAGTGAGATGCTCCTTAGGGTCAGCCAGCCCTATACCAGGAAGTATTTAAGGGGGGGGGGTGTTTGAGACTCGAACCCAGAGTCTTGCAGGCAAGACAAGTGCACCACCACTGAGTCACATCTTGGCCTCCCAAATTTCCCCTAAAGGGAAAAACAAAACAAAAACCAAGCTGAGGATGCAAGAGACTTTGCTAGTCTTGATCCCAAGAACTGCTTTAAAAAAAAAAAAGACAGCTCACATCTATTCACATCTATTAAGTACTTGCCAAAAATCGCAGCATCCTAACCTCTTTTTATATACCAGCTCATCGTTGTTACATCAACACCACAAGAAAGCAGGTCCAGAGTAACTGTGCATCAGTGTAAGTAAACTCTGAAGCTAGAAGGCCCTAGCTGCCACCATTTCCCAGCTGATGTGACTTTTGTACAACTGACCTCAGAACCTCTGCTTTCTCACCTGAAAAATGAGGTAAAAATAGTACTAGCTCATGGGGTCCATGAGAACTGATCCAAACCAGATCCCATCAGTTTTTCTTAAGTCTGAATCGTCTCAGAGCCAGCCCGCTGGGTGTGGCACCTTACATAATTCTCACACTGCCTGAAACAGGAACCACTGACCCCATTTTATAGATGAGGATGAGTTGAGTTCTAAGAGTAGAGAGCCCTGTTGAGTCTTGGGTTAGAAACTTAACACACCTAGAGACCTGGCTCTGGGCATTTAGAGTCTAAGCCCTAGCTCAGAAGTCTGGGCCTGCCCCAGGGTCCAGGAGCCTGGGCGTGTGTGGCACCTATCCCTCCTTTCATCTTGCTAACACTTCCCTGAGACTAGAGCCTGGAGCCAGCAATGTCTCACTCAAGACTCCTATGCTGGCCCTAGCCAACTGTGCTTCAGTCTTTCTGCTCGAGGGGTAGATCCCTCCCAAGGCACTTAGGAGGAGAAATGGTAGGGAAGCGTCTAATGGGTCCCAGCAGGCACCTAGCTCCATGAAGAATGGAGAGCCAGGCAGGTCATGCCTCATCTTGCCCACTACTTCAAAGAGTGGCTTTCCCAAGTGAGGTCTGACAAAGCCCTGCAGCAAATCCTCATCTAGGAAGCACACCTACAATTCCAATACTTGTGAGGCCAAGGTAGGAGGATTCTTAGTTAAAGGCCAGCCTGAGCTACTAGCAAGATCCTGACTTAACAAAAACAAGCAGTTGAAGAGATGGCCTTGTGGTTAGGGATCTTGCTGTTCTTACAGGACCTGAGTCCAGTTCCTAGTTTCACATTGAGAGGCTCACAACCACCAGCTCCAAGGGATCTGATACTCTCTTTTGGCCTCCTTGGGCACCTGCAGACATGTCCGAAGGAACATATAGGTATGTGCATGGGCGCGTGCACACACAAAATCTTTTTAAAAATATCAAACAAAAGCCAGGTGGTGGTGGTGGTGCATGCCTTTAATCCCAACACTCAGTTGAAAGAGGCAGGTAGATCTGAGTTTGAGGCTAGCCTAGCCTAGTCTAGTGAGTTCTAGGGCAGCCAGGGCTACAGAGAAACCCTGTCTCAAAAAAATGTAAACAAAAAGAACCATCATCTAAGGAAGGTGATGTAGAGTGCTACAATCTGTATTTTTAGTGGTTTGTTTATTATGTATATTCTTCTGCCTGCAGGACAGAAGAGGGCACCAGATCTCAATACAGATGGTTGAGAGCCACCATGTGGTTGCTGGGAATTGAATTTAGGACCTCTGGAAGAATACCTTGTGCTCTTAATCTCTGAGCTATCTCTCTAGCCCCTATAATCTGTATTTTTATTCTCTAAAATTAAAAAAAAAATCACAGGCAGGAGAGATTGCTAAACAGTTAAGGACACTCCCTGATATTCTAGAGCAGCGGTTCTCAACCCATGGGCCTCGCCTCTTTAGGGGCAGAACAACCCTTTTATAGGGTCACCTAAGACCATTGGAAAACACAGATATTCACATTACAATTCATAACAATCACAGTTACGAAGTAGCAATGAAATTAATTTTATGGTCGGGGTCACCACAGCATGAGGAATTGTTTTAAAGGTTCACAGTGTTAGGAAGGCTAAAAGTCACTGCTCTAGAGGGTATGAATTCGGTTCCCAACACCAATGTTAGACGGCTCCAGGGGGCCTGACATTTTCCTGTCCTCTGTCTGTACATACAAACACACACAGATTTAGAGTCTTTTTTTTTTTTTTTAAATTCTTCAAGACAGGGTTTCTTTGTAGTCCTGGCTGTCCCTGAACTCAGAGATCTACCTGCCTTAGCCTGCTGAGTGCTGGGAGTAAAGGTGCACACCACCAAGCTCAGCTGTGTGTGTGCAGAGGACAGCTGGGAGTCAGGGTCTTTCCCTTTGCTGACTGTGGTCCCTGTTTCTGTGCTACACTGTATACTCCAGACTAGACAGCTGGCCAGCTTCCTGACCATTCTGTCCACATTCCATCTCCCCGCAGCAGAGCCACCAAGTCCAGCTTTTTGCATGGGTTTTGGGGGCTTGAACTCAGACTGTCAGGCTTGTATGGCTAGTGCTTTAATAACCCACCAAACTATCTCTGGAGCCCTGCAATCTGTACTTTAAACCAACACTGTGGACCATCAAGAACCAGACATATGAGCCAGGATACTTGCCTGACATACCTGAGGCACTGGGTTCTATCCTCAGTACCACAAAAAAAAGAAAGAAAAACAGACAGACAGAGAGACAGACACACACATACCTCCTAGGTCTCCAAATGCTTCCAGGAGGAAAACATTTTTACTACAACTCTGTTTTAAATCCTCAAAATGCAAAAAGTGCACACAGCTAAGATGTCCAGAGTCAAAGCTGAACCCTTCCTGCCCTCAAGCTAGCCTCTTGTGATCACTCTTTATTCACCTGAAATCCTTTAACAAAATCCTGATGCTTCCCAGGACAAAGACCAGTATCTTTCTATGATCCGCAAATCCCCAGTCCATTCACTCCTGCTTAGCACTGTTCAATTCCCTGCTTCCCTCACTAGGCGCCTCCTACACCTCCTGTCTTCATTTTCAGCTTCAGTTTCTTCCCACCCCAGGCTGCTTACACGAGCAGTTCTGGTCAGAGCCATAACTTCTCATCGTCTCCTGCATATCTTTATGTATTAGCTCTTTGGTTACACTGGGTCTTAGCTCCTAGACACTTCCTTTACTAAGGCTTTCTTTCTTCTTCTTCTTCTTCTTTTTAAAATTTTACTTTCTCTATGTATGTACACTCAAGCGTGTATGTGTGGAGGTCAGAGGACAACTTGCAGGAGTCAAGCCTCTCCTTTTACGATATGGGTCTAGGAGGCTGAACTCAGGTCTCAAACTCGGCCATCTCCCCACCTTAGAAGGCTTTCCTGGACACTGGAAAAAAGGCACAGTATTATGAGGAATTACTATTCTTTCAGAGGACCCAGGTTTGATTCCCATCACCCACATGGTAGCTCACAATCACCTATAACTCCAGTTATAGACACCAGGCATATACTCGGTGCACACACGTACATGTAAGCTAACACTCATATACATAAATAAAGGTTTCCTTGACTACCTTTGTGTGTGTGTGTGTGTTTCAGGGTCTTACTATGTAGCCCAGGCTGGCCCTGATTCTTCCTGCCTCAGCCTCCTCAGAGTTGGGATTACAGGTGTGGATCATGTACTTTGATCACCTACCTCCCTTTGTTTTTGGCAGTGCTTGGAATTGAATTTAGGGTCGCATGCATGTTTGGTAAGCAAGCACTCTTCCACTGTGCCACTGAGACAAGGTTTCATTACACAGCCTTGGCTGGCCTGGAACTCACAGAGATATGCCTGTCCGTCTCCCGAGTGCTGGGATTTAAAGGTGTGTCATAGACTCTTTTTCAAAATGATATCTTTATCCTGGCTATCATTTAACTTCTCCTTTCAAAGAAAAATTTTCTTTATAACGCCATCTGGATCAACGACTTCCCGCAGGCTTCCTGCTATGGACGGGGTGTCGTTAGCATTTTATACACACCGATCCAACTACTCAGGCTCACTTCATAGTTCCTAGCGTCTGTTATGGGCTGAACATTTGTGTTCTTAAATTCTGTGTTTGGAAACAAGTTCTTTTCAGAAGTCATTAAAGTTAAATAAAGTCATAAGGGCAGAGCTAGCAAGACGGCCCGGTAGGTAAAAAGGCGTTTTCACCAAGCCTGGCACCCTGAGTTGGATCCTCATGACCCACACGGAGGGAAGAGAGAACAGACTCCAGTCAGTTGTCCCCTGACCTCCACACGTGTGCTGCCAGCACACAGATGCACACACAAGATAAATAAAAGTTTAATTAAACAAGTTCTTAAGAAACAACACAGAAATGCCAGTAACTGGTCATAGACTGAGCTAGTACTGGGAGCCAGGCAATCATATACCCAAATTTCTGCCATCTGTTCCCTTAGCTATTGCTTTATTAGCACTAACACATTTTATTATCTGGTTGTGCACTAGGGTCCAGGGAACGTTGTTCTATGCACTCTTTATGTCCAAAGCTGTTAGGTGACTGACAGCAAACTGCAGGAGGAATTCAAAGCCAGGTCTACAGCCTCCGTCTCTTCCATCGTAGAAGTTTGTGAGATTCAGCCACCAACTCTTCATTAACCGAAACTCCCCATCTTTACAAGGTCATCCGGCCCAAGGATTACCCCAGCACCTCAATTTGTTCGCTGTTGTGATGGAACACAGTGTCACTAATCACCTGTGAGGGGAATGACATTTTGCTGTCTCTCAAGCTAATGAAGACTCAGTTTCCCCAAAGCGGTTATTTTTAACCACTCCGGCCGCAAGTGCGGCCCATTCCCCCATCTCTCCAAGACAGCAAACAGGCTACCAGACCTTGGGTCTTTTGATGAGTTGAAAGAACTGTGCTGGGGCGAATGTTTAATTATATCCTAGGCCTTCTGAGTTAGCTCAAAAATGATCCCATTTTCCCA